ACTCAAACAAAACGGAACTTTCGAAACATATTTGGAAATTAAAAGAAAACAATCAGGATTACACCATCAAATGGTCAATTTTAAAACACGCTATTTCGTACAAAACGCTGCAATTTATGTTTGGAAGAAAAATTTTGCATTTTGAAAGACATAAACAAAGACAATTTACTCAATAAAAGAAGCGAAATTTTCGGCAAATGTCGTCACAAAAACCGGTTTCGAGTAAACAAGGTCGTTAACAAAACCTAATGACCCAAGCATGCATTGTTTCACCTAAGCATTGTTTCGCCTACACGCATTCCGACATTCTTTCGATTGCATAAAAGCAAGCTACAATTTCGAAATTATTCACCACCTGATGATTCCTATACGGATGAAACAGATTGTTGTGGTTTTTTTGAGGTAAAACGAAAAACTATATATATATATATATATATATATATATATATATATATATATATATATATATATATATATATATATATATATATATATATATATATATAGTTTTGGAGTTGAAGCTGGTCTAAAATTCTTTTTAAAATACTAGAATATGTACAATAAAAAGTCTAAAAAAGTTCTAAATTTTCGGTTGCTGACTGCAACCTTCATCAGAGTACTAAGAGCAGTTCGGATAGTTCAAGATTTTAAATATCGTCATTATTGGCACATGATTGCACAAGCGATAAATACATGCGTGGGAATTATTTGTGTTCGTTAATTGTTTTATTGTCTAATATTGAATGCATCGACTCGAGGAACGTGCGTTTTTCTAAATTATGTACTCTTTTCTCTAAGATTGTAGCATTGTTAATAGAGGCATTGTTTCCTGTGCTTTCTGCGTGGTCTTTGATTGCTGACTTAGACAGCGTTTACACTGTACCGTTTTCGTAGCGTTCTCGTATTGTTCGACAGAACTAGACTATTGTCTTGCGTTCCCTTGAGGATTAAGAACAATACGAGAACGCTACGAAAACGGTACAGTGTAAACGCTGCCTTAATCTCCGGTCTTACGCCTGGTTTGTGTTCTGCCCAACGTGATTTCCACGATCTCTTGCTTTCTCCAACATACTTAAATGAGCAATCTGGACATTCGAATTTATAAACAATGCCTTTAACCTCCGTGATCTTCTGCTTGTCTTTTGGTTTACCAAAAATGTCTCCTAAGCTTGGCATGGGTTTATATATTGTCTTAATGCCAGCACCTTTAAGCAGCTGTTTTATCTGTTCTGATATGTCATTCATGTATGGAATACAAGATAACCCTTTAATTTCCGGTTCGTCATTAGTGTTGGAAAACGACCTGCTGGAACTTGTCTGGAAGGTGAATTTCTCTGGATATCCGTTGAGCTTTAAGTCTTGGACAACACGCTCCTTTTTCTTCCTGTTTTTTATTGTCTGTAGTAGGAATGCTGTCGGCTCGATCAAGTAAGGTCTTAACTACGGCTCGCTTACTTTGGGTGGGATTATGAGAGTAAAAGGATACATATTTATTCGTATGTGTATCCTTACGGTATACACTTACTTCAATGGTATGGTTTTTAAGAATTGTAATGTGGGTATCAAGGAAAGAAACTCCTTCACCGCGGTTTGATTCTGATGGTAATTCAATTGTAAACTGAATGTTTTTGTTGATAGTGTTCAGCTGGGTGTGCAATTGTTCAATGTCACTTTTGCGTAGACATGAATTGAGGTCGTCAACATACCTTCGCCACCAGCGTACTGGGACAGGTGACGTGTTGATGGCAATTGACTCTATATCTTGCATTACTATCTCAGCTATGACTGCACTAACAGGCGATCCCATGGCGCATCCTGACTTCTGATGATAGTGCGTCTCATTGAATTTAAAGTAACAATTGCTAAGTAGGAATTTTAATAGTTTCACAACTTGTTCTTCTGTCAGTGCTGTATGTGACTTCCATGAATCAGTTTCTTTAAGTTTCTTCTGTACAATATGCAAGGCAAACGGAACAGGTATAGATGTAAATAAGGAGACAACATCAAAAGAGACGACAGTTTCATCCGTCCTTAACGTTTGACTTTTTAGACTTTTTATTGCACATATTCTAGTATTTTAAAAAGAATTTTAGACCAGCTTCAACTCCAAAACTATCATATATATGTATATATATATATATATATATATATATATATATATATATATATATATATATATATATATATATATATATATATATATATATATATATATATATCCCCACCAGGCACACGACGTTGTTTCAATGTTGAAATTTTGTAGAGAAAAGATTGCGACGTCGACAACCGATTATCAACGTTGCTCTGACGTTGTTTTACAAACATTGGTTCAACAGCAGCCAACGGACGTTGAATTAACGTTCATTCATGGTTAAATGTACGACGTCGATTATTGAACCAGATCTCAACGTTGTTTTAACGTGGATTCAAAGTTGAATTATGGTTGACGAGATTGGCAACCTAATGTCAACGTTGTTTCAACGTCAAAACAGTAACGTCGAACCATATACATATATATATATATATATATATATATATATATATATATATATATATATATATATATATATATATATATATATATATATATATATATATATATATATATATACACGAATATAGCGACATAATATCTTCAGAAATGTCTTTCCGGCTTCTCAGTTTAAAGTAATTAAATTGAAAAATCCTCAGTAATCTTCTAAAATCTTATAAAATCTTCAGAAAGGCTTCACCGATTTCTCAGTTTAATTAAATTGTTAATTAACGATCAATTAGCAGTTATTTGCTCCTAATTTATTCACTGCACTGACATTAATGATTGTAGGCGTCATTGATTGCCTGTCATCTCCATGCGGAAATAACGCAACATGTAATAATACAGAAGGATCGTTTAACTGTTTCTGTAAACAAGGTTTCGTAGGGGATGGATTCAATTGTTCAGGTAAGATTGTGCTAGCCCTATTCTAAGTTTCAATCCAATTAGCCTTCCTGAATTAAAAACCTCACATCATTTAGATTAGTTTCTGTGTAGACTCACTCTTCCTCAGTTAAGAAGTTACATTTTCAAGTAAGTTTTTATATTAGGACATCAGATCACCCTGATATACAAACATAGCGATATAAATTCTTCAGAGATGTCCTACCGACTTCTCAGTTTATTTTAATAAATTTAAACGATCTTCAGAAATTTTATAAAATTATATAAATTTTTCAGAAATGTTTCACCGATTTCTCAGTTTAATTAAATAATTAATTAATTAACGATTAATTAACAATAATGTGCTCCTGATTTATTCACTGACTCTAACGATTGTAGACGTCATTGATTGTCTATGATATCCATGCGGAAATAACACAACATGTAATAAAAAAGCATCATTTAACTGTTCAGGTAATTAGATTGTGCTAGCCTTTTTTATAGTTGCATTCCAATCAGTCTTCCTAAATTATTTAAAAAAAAACATCCAATTGGTTAGTTTCCTTGTAGAATCAGCCTTCCCATTTAAGAGTTAGGTTCTTTGGATAATTTCGATATTAGGAAACCAGATCGCCCTAATTTACAAAAATAGCGGCATAAAATCATACGAAATATCTTACCGACTTTTCAGTTTAATTCAATTAATTATAAAATCTTCAGAAATCTTATAAAATCTTAAAAAATCTACAGAAATATTTTAACAATTCTCGGTTTCAGTAAATTATTTAATTTAATTAATTTAATTAAAGATCTATTAAAAATAATGTGCTCCTGATTTATTCATGCACTGATATTAATGATTGTAGACGTCAATGAATGCCTGTCATCTCCATGCGGAAATAACGCAACATGTAATAATACAGAAGGATCGTTTAACTGTTTCTGTAAACAAGGTTTCGTAGGGGATGGATTCAATTGTTCAGGTAAGATTGTGCTAGCCCTATTTTAAGTTTCAATCCAATTGGCCTTTCCGACTTAAAAACCTCACATCATTTAGATTAGTTTCTGTGTAGACTCACACTTCCTCAGTTAAGAAGTTACATTTTCAAGTAAGTTTTTATATTAGGACATCAGATTACCCTGATATACAAACATAGCCATATAAAATCTTCAGAGATGTCTTACCGACTTCTCAGTTTATTCTAATTAATTGGAAAGATCTTCAGAAATCTTATAAAATCTTATAAATTGTCCAGATATGTTTCACCGACTTCTCAGTTTAATTAAATTATTAATTTAAGATCAATTAACAATAATCGGCTCCTGATTTATTCACCGACACTAAAGATTGTAGACGTCATTGATTGTCTATGATATCCATGCGGAAATAACACAACATGTAATAAAAAAGCATCATTTAACTGTTCAGGTAATTAGAGTGTGCTAGCCTTTTTTAAAGTTGCATTCCAATCAGTCTTCCTAAATTATTTTAAAAAAAACATCAAATTGGTTAGTTTTCTTGAAGAATCAGCCTTCCCCATTTAAGAGTTACGTTCTTTGAATAATTTTTATATTAGGAAACCAGATCGCCCTAATTTACAAAAATAGCGGCATAAAATCATACGAAATATCTTACCGACTTTTCAGTTTAATTCAATTAATTATAAAAACCTTCAGAAATCTTATAAAATCTTAAAAAATCTACAGAAATATTCTAACAATTCTCGCTTTCAGTTAATTATTTAATTTAATTAATTTAATTAAAGATCTATTAAAAATAATGTGCTCCTGATTTATTCATGCACCGACATTATTGATTGTAGACGTCAATGAATGCCTGTCATCTTCATGCGGAAATAACGCAACATGCAACAATACAGAAGGATCATTTAACTGTTTCTGTAAACAAGGTTTCGAAGGAGAAGGATTGAATTGTTCAGGTAAGATCGTGCTTGCCCATTTAAAATTTTCAGTCCAATTAGTGTTCCGGAATTATTGAAAAAATTACATCATTTTGATCAGTTTCTGTGTATACTCACCAATCCTCATTTAAGAAGCTACATTTTCAAGTAAGTTTTTATATTAGGACATCAGATAACTCTAATATGCAAATATAGCCATATAATAAAATCTGCAGAGATGTCTTACCGACTTCTCAGTTTATTCTAATTAATTGAAAAGATCTTCAGAAATCTTATAAAATCTTATAAATTGTTCAAAAATGTTTCACCGATTTCTCAGTTTAATTAAATAATTAATTAACGATCAAGTAACAATAATGTGCCCCTGATTTATTCACCGACACTAAACATTGTAGACGTCATTGATTGTCTATAATATCCATGCGGAAATAACACAACATGTAATAAAAAAGCATCATTTAACTGTTCAGGTAATTAGATTTTGCTTGCCTTTTTTAAAGTTGCATTCCAATCAGTCTTCCTAAATTATTAAAAAAAAATATATCAAATAGGTTAGTTTCCTTGTAGAATCAGGCTTCCCAATTTAAGAGATATTTGCTTTGGGTAATTTTAATATTAGGAAATCAGATCGCCCTAATTTTCAAAATTAGCGGAATAAAATCATACGAAATATCTTACCGACTTTTCAGTTTAATTCAATTAATTTTAAAATCTTCAGAAATCTTATAAAACTTTAAAAATCTACAGAAATATTTTAACAATTCTCGGTTTCAGTTAATTATTTAATTCAATTAATTTTATTAAAGATCTATTAAAAATAATGTGCTCCTGATTTATTCATGCACCGATATTAATGATTGTAGATGTCAATGAATGCCTGTCATCTCCATGCGGAAATAACGCAACATGTAACAATACAGAAGGATCATTTAACTGTTTCTGTAAACAAGGTTTCTTAGGGGATGGATTGAATTGTTCAGGTAAGATCGTGCTTGCCCTTTTTAATTTTTCAATCCAATTAGTGTTGCGGAATTATTGAAAAAATCACATCATTTTGATCAGTTTCTGTGTATACTCACCCTTCCTCATTTAAGAAGCTACATTTTCAAGTAAGTTTTTATATTAGGACATCAGATAACACTAATATACAAACATAGCCATATAAAATCTTTAGAGACGTCTTACCGACTTCTCAGTTTATTCTAATTAATTGAAAAGATCTTCAGAAATCTTATAAAATCTTATAAATTGTTCAGAAATGTTTCACCGACTTCTCAGTTTAATTAAATAATTAATTAGCGATCAATTAACAGTATTGTGCTCCTGATTTGTTCACCGACACTAAAGATTGTAGACGGCATTGATTGTCTATAATATCCATGCGGAAATAACACAACATGTAATAAAAATGCATCATTTAACTGCTCAGGTAATTAGATTGTGCTAGCCCTTTTTAAAGTTGCATTCCAATCAGTCTTCCTAAATTATTTAAAAAAATACATCAAATAGGTTAGTTTCCTTGCCTTCCCCATTTAAGAGATACGTGCTTTGGGTAATTTTGATATTAGCAAATCAGATTGCCCTAATTTTCAAAATTAGCGGCATAAAATCATACGAAATATCTTACCGACTTTTCAGTTTAATTCAATTAATTTTAAAATCTTCGGAAATCTTATAAAATCTTACAAAATCTACAGAAATATTTTAACAATTCTCGGTTTCAGTTAATTATTTAATTTAATTAATTTAATTAAAGATCTATAAAAAATAATGTGCTCCTGATTTATTCATGCACCGATATTAATGATTGTAGATGTCAATGAATGCCTGTCATCTCCATGCGGAAATAACGCAACATGTAATAATACAGAAGGATCATTTAACTGTTTCTGTAAACAAGGTTTCGAAGGGGATGGATTGAATTGTTCAGGTAAGATCGTGCTTGCCCTTTTTAATTTTTCAATCCAATTAGTGTTCCGGAATTATTGAAAAAATCACATCATTTTGATCAGTTTCTGTGTATACTCACCCTTCCTCATTTAAGAAGCTACATTTTCCAGTAAGTTTTTATATTAGGACATCAGATAACTCTAATATACAAACAAAGCCATATAAAATCTTCAGAGATGTCTCACCGGCTTCTCAGTTTATTTTAATTAATTTAAAAAATCTTGAAGAATCTTATAAAATATTAAAAATCTTCGGAAAGATTTAATCGATTTCTCCGTTCAATTGAATTAGTTAATTTAATTATAGACCAATTAACACTATTATGTGCTCCTAATTTATTCATGGACGTTAATGATTGTAGATGTCAATGAATGCTTATCAACTCCATGCGGGTATAGCGCAACATGTAACAATACAGTAGGATCATTTAACTGTTCCTGTAAACGAGGTTTCGAAGGGGATGGATTAAATTGTTCAGGTAAGGTAGTGCTTTAGCCCTCTTCAAGTTGCGTTTCAATTAGTCTTCCTGAATTGTTAAAAAAATCACAACATTTAGATTAGTCTCTGTGTAGACTCACCCTTCCTGAGTTAAGAAGTTACATTTTCAAGTAAGTTTTTATATTAGGAAACCAGATGACCCTAATATTCGAACGTACCGATATAAAATCTTCAGAAATGTCTTGCCGACTTCTCAGTTGATCCTAATTAATTAAAAAATGTTCAGAAATTTTATAAAATCTCATAAAATCTTTAGAAATGTTTTACCGACTTCTCAGTTTAATTAAAATATTTATTAACGATCAATTAACAATAATATGCTCCTGATTTGTTCACCGACATTAATGATTGTAGACGTCGTTGAATGCCTGTCATCTCCATGCGGAAATAATGCAACATGTAATAATACAGAAGGATCATTTAACTGTTTCTGTAAACAAGGATTTCAAGGGCATGGATTCAATTGTTCAGGTAAGATTGTGCAAAGTTAATAGAAGAGAGGGTTTTGAAGCTTGGGGCGTGGCCAAATTATGTTTTTGTTTTCTGTCACGTGACAATACGGGTTCATCAAAATCTATTTAGTATTAAGTGAATGTATTACAGAGTAGGCTGTAGGACTTGAAAAACGTCCTTTATAGAATGAACATCCAAACATCAGGAGCAAATTGCTTCATATATGGTTGCAGGACTAGTAGAAAACACTTCGGTGTTAGTGTTTTTTGAATCCCAACAAAAGACGAGGATTTATTGAGGTAAATTCGGGAAGCGTTGGCGAGGCTTGTCACAAAGGACGCTGGATCGCGAGATAGATGCAAGTTTACGAAATCAAATCGCTCAACAAACACTTCACGTTTGTGAAAGAACCTTTGGGAAGACCCGGCCGAAACATGTAAGTTATTTTCTTATGACTAACTAACAGGTTTCTCTGGCAGAGGTATTGATATTTCGGTATGAACGCTTGAAAGTTACAGCTTAGCAGAAGCTTGCCGTACATATTTCATGTATCAAATGATCAAATGTGTAGGCATATGGAGCAAGAAATATATATTTATTAATGTTTTGCATAAAAGTGAGTTTCGGTCATATTTATATAACAGTTAATCCTTGTGTTCATAAAATGAAGGTATACATAAATTCAGAACACTGTCACTGAGGACGGTAGAAACATTTTCGTATACAATATTAAAACAAAGTATTACACAATAATCAAAGGCTATTTTAATAGCAAAAAGTGGCAAAATAAGTAACGGGATTTTGTTTGGGCATGTCATAGTATAAGAAAGCCCCACTTACAGTTATTATCCATCTTGTTTGCTGTGAATTTTAGTAATTATATTTACTACCTTAACAATACTTGTATAAAGTCTACTTATATATAATCAGGTATTTTATGTTCTGCTTTAGTTCCCCCCTGCAAAAGGTTTGTACCTGAGGCTATTCCTACCTTTAATTTACTCCAGAAATGCATACCTCTCTACATCGACAATTGGAGCCAGGTAACGTTGCATGGTGGATTAGAAGAGGCCTTGCCGTAACGTAAACAGAAGAAGCAATCTAGTGAGAAATTTTGCGGAGTTTTTGTACCCGGAGCTGTCATTAAGGGCCTGTAGCTGGCCAAAATTACTGCCCACTTGGCTATCTGGCTGCCTACTTTTGTCTCAACAAAATTCATATAAACAAAACTGTGAATCAATAAACAAACCTTTTACTTCCTGTTCTTCAGAATATTAAAATTAAAACAAAAGATTAAATGATTTCAAACAGGTCAGGCTTTGATAGGATGTTTTGTAATCTTAGGAACTCTGTAAAAAACCTTCTAAAATGCAGGGAATGGCATTTCCGATTGTTTAGATTTCGGGTTGGGGGCACGCACCCAGACCTCTCTAGGAGTCTTGTGCATGCCTTCAATGTTCAATCATTTTTCGGCCACCTACTTGTAAACGTAATGACAGCACTGCTTCAAAGGAGAAATATGCAATAATTTGTACATTGGTGTAAAATAATTATTGAAACAGATTATAAATCAATAGGTGAAAATAAGACTAGAAAATCATATTACCTTAGTTAAATAATTTGTATAAATTTTTACTAATTAATCCCCGAGCCGGCGGCGCGAAGCGCCGTTCGAGGGTACTAATCCCCCCCCGGCTATTTACACCCGGGGAAACGAAAGCATTAGCGAAGTCTAAAGTTCATCAATGAGCGCGGGCGTCAGTCACCAACGATGGGTGGTCATCCTCACTGATCTCAAAAATATGGCGGACTGTCATGAATAACGGACACTGATTGGTCCAATTTAAAGTTTGCACTAGAAAATACATGCATGCAGAAACCCTCGCCTTGCTGACAAAACCGTTGTATTTTCCGAACATGAACTATCTAAAGTAGTTCTCATGGTAACACGATAATTTTTTAAGAATATTCTTACAAATGAAAATCGCCTAAAAATATCACTTTTAATTACAAAATTATTAATTTCCCAACATATTTATGTTAGGTATGTAATTATACGTAATACAAGCTTCAATTTAAGGTAAAATTCAATCACAAACAATTCACAAAACGTTTTAAAGTGTTCTTTATAAAACTAGACTGCCTTTAACTATTAAATGGCTTTATCGATAAACTTTGAGTTTGCAATAAAATGATTTCAAATTCTCGCTTGCAAATAACTTTGATTTATTTTTTATTTAAAAAATTCAATATAATAAAAAAGGGAATCAATATTAAAGATACACTGAAATTATATGCTGTCTTGTTTAGTTGTCTCATATACACGCAAAGGCCGTCCGGTTTTAAAGCCATTATAAAATCAATATTTAAAACAAACTTACCTTCGTTAACGTCGGCTCCCTTCTTTTAGCTGATTCTTTCGCCCTTTCTTTCTTGAAATTTACAAAATCTTGCAGAAATACGAGCAAAAATGAAGAATATTTGCAAGAAATTTATCAATCATCAACTCATCAAATCAAGAAATGTTTGCTATTTCGCTGTCGTCATGCCGCCGTTATAATGCAAACTTTAAATTGGACCAATCAGGGTCCCTTATTCATGACAGTCCGCCATATTTTTGAGATCAGTGAGGATGACCACCCATCGTTGGTGACCGACGCCCGCGCTCATTGATGAACTTTAGACTTCGCTAATGCTTTCGTTTCCCCGGGTGTAAATAGCTGGGGGGAATTACTACCCACGCACGGCGCTTCACGCCGCCGGCTCGGGGATTATAACGGCTGCATGACGACAACGAAATAGCAAACATTTCTTGATTTGTTGAGTTGATGATTGATAAATTTCTTGCAAATATTCTTCATTTTTGCTCGTATTTCTGCAAGATTTCAAGAAAGTAAATTTCAAGAAAGAAAGGGCGAAAGAATCAGCTAAAAGAAGGGAACCGACGTTAACGAAGGTAAATTTGTTTTAAATATTGATTTTATAATGGCTTTAAAACCCGACGGCCTTTGCGTATATGAAACAACTAAACAAGACAGCATATAATTTCAGTGTATCTTTAATATTGATTCCCTTTTCTACTATATTGAATTTTTTAAATAAAAAATAAAGCAAAGTTATTTGCAAGCGAGAATTTGAAATCATTTTATTGCAAACTCAAAGTTTATCCATAAAGCCATTTAATAGTTAAAGGCAGTTTAGTTTTATAAAGAACACTTTAAAACGTTTTGTGAATTGTTTGTGGTTGAATTTTACTTTAAATTGATCTTGTATTACGTATAATTACATACCTAACATATATATGTTGGGAAATTGATAATTTTGTAATTAAAAGTGATATTTTTAGGCGATTTTCATTTTGTAAGAATATTCTTAAAAAATTATCGTGTTACCATGACAACTCCTCTAGATACTTCCTGTTTGGAAAATACAACGGTTTTGTCAGCAAGGTGAGGGTTTCTGCATGCATGTATTTTCTAGTATATACTGTAAATCACTATTACACAAAATTTTGCTTCACTTCAAATATTCAAGACATTGGTAGGCTCAACTTTGAGTTATTGTGGTTTGAGAGACAACAACGGCTAGAATCGGAACACACTGACATAGTGAATAAGTGTACACTATTTACATCTGAATTTGGCTGTCAAACTTTTCCATTCCTTTTGGTTTTTTTGTTGCAATTGTACTTATCAATATCCCTGCAAAGGAGAAACTTTGAACAGCCATACAGTTTAACAATGTTCCAAAACACAAGGACTCTGGCATTCTTTTGATACTGCAACATTAGATTGCTCAATAATGTCATTCCGCAAACTTTTTGCCAATGGAGGAGCTTGGACGTTCTTATTATGACAATTTTATCAACATGTAAAGAAGTAGGTTTGGTTCTTCTCATTCTCCTCCGCAGAGGCTTCTGTTGGCCATGATTATGATTAGTCTTGAGATACATTTCTCTGCGGAAAGGCCAATTCTTGTGTGCTTTCTAAAGCACGATTCGGGGATTCTAGCAATATCATTAAGTCATGAATTTGGTGCCCACAGCCCTGTGGGAGAAGGTTACCACCCCCCCCCCCCATCCACCACCCGAAGTGATTCAAGCGAATGACGTCATCAGGAGAGTACGTCTAGGCGTTCGTACTTAGTGTACGTACTTAGCGTGCGTACTTAGCGTTCGTACTTAGCGTGCGTCCAAGCGTTCGTACTTAGTGTACGTCCAGGCGTTCGTACTTAGCGTGCGTCCAAGCGTTCGTACTTAGTGTACGTCCAGTTTAGTAAGCATTACGTAATTGTATTGCACATGTCTATAAAAGAGACTGCGCGTTTATTCACTGCATCCTAAGCCTTTGAAAATGAATTTTTCACAAAATTTTGAGCAATCAAACTGGGCCTGTTGTGTTCATGCGGACGAAGTTTCGTCCTCTGATTATAAAAGGCTTTTTAGTTTGTTAGAGGCTATATATGCAGAGGCTGTTGCTTACGAAGTTGGTAAACTTACTAAAGAAAGATGTTGTGGTTGTGAATACGACCATCCGAGTCAACGCCAGCATGACTGTCTCATGTTATCAAAAGAGCGAAAAAGGGGGTAACACGAATACGAAAATGTATACATTTTAAGAGCAAAATATTGTTGGCAAGACTACCGCGTTGGTTGGATGCATAAATTAACACACAATAAAAGTTTAACGTTTGTAACAAATTTATTTCTTAAGTATAACAATTAATTACACAAGTACATATAGTTCTTAAACATGTTGTCCAGCTTTTACATTGTCCTCTAGTTTTGATCGTTTTACTTTATAAACAGTTCTGTTTTCTATAAGCACGAGCTTACGTTTCTGCCCCTCCTACAGGTTTGGCATCCAATACGTTTAACTCTTTACCCGTTTATTGCTCGCTGGCAACAGAGGCAGCTAATCCTGTCCACACACACAAATTAAAATGTTAACCATTTATTGTTGTCTTTCTTCGTTTCTCCAGATTTAGAATGTTTTCGTTTACTTATCTGTCCATGTTTT